CCAAAGGATATTTGTTTCTGTGGCAAGCCAGCTGAGCGAGTTTAACAAGCAATGGTGAGAACTCTTAGAAAAAAAGATTTACTCCTCTGGTTGTAAAAACGATCAAAAATTTTTTGCCAAGAAGTCATGTGAGCTGGCTTGCCACAGAAACAAATATCCTTTGGCGATAGAAGTATAGATGAATCGCTAGCATTATCTCCTTTTTCAACTGGTAGATTTACTGTTGACGAGGATAGGATTTTGATTTTTGTTATTTCATTTAAATTGAAACGTTTTTTGGGATGATATTTGGTATAGAAAACAAAATTTTATGCAATAATCATTTCGTCATTCAACAATACACACCATTTCTGGTTTGGCTTCTTTCATTCGACTGCTCTAGGGCAAGGTGTTTCTCTTCGTTATGTGCCCACTTCGTTAGAGAGACACTTCGGTAAGCGAACGCATTAGGTCCTCAATAACTCGATTTTTATTTGCCAAGCCAAATATTCTTCGATTTAAAATATCCAAAAAAAATATTTTATACAGTTGCAAGCAATCGTATATATAAGAAAATTTGCTATAAAAAGATTTATCAATGCTTTTGTTGAAATATCTTTCTTAAAAGTTTTTTAGAAAATTTTCGAACGAAATTCCCTTAAAAAGGACGGCGATGTATCTATTATTGCTTTCAATCATAACTTATCAATTATAACTATAAATAAATTTTCGATTTAAATTATTTATTTGAAAAGAATTATAAAAATTTTAAACAAAGAAAATTATCATTATCACTACTTCTTTTAGTTTAAAAAATTATTAAATTATCAAAAAAAAATTTTTAAAAAATTTTTATTTCTGGAGAATTTGGAGATTTTACTTTTTTTTCATTATATTTTTATATAACTGAATATTAAGTTTTTTAAAAAACTTTTTTCAGAAAAAAAGCAAGAAAAATTCTAGTAATTTTTGCGTTTTATTCCGGTTTTAACGATAAATTTTTTTTTTTTTGAACAAACCAACCATTGCCATTAAAAATTTTAACTGAAATTGAATTTTCTTTACGAAATGTGATTTAATTCTTTTGGCTAAATTTTCATTAAGAATAATTCCATTTTTGATTAATTTGTTTAATTTATCTAATATTGTTTTTTTGTAATAAAAATGAATTTTTTCAATTCAAATTTTGACCGTTCAAAAATTTTAATAAATTTTTAAATTTCGAATTTTTTCAAACTTTAAATTCATGTGGATTAAGAAAAAAATGACTATTATATAATTGTGAAAATTTTGATTTATGAGAAGTGAAATAAATTTTTTTTAATATTATTTAAAAAATTTATAGAAAAGATGTAAGTATTTTTTTCTATTATTTCTGAATAATTTTATTTATTTCTACTTTCTTTGTGTTCATTCCTTTATTATTCTGAATGACGAAAAGTAAATTGCCGTTCCCACACTTCTCCCCTCTCCTCCTCTCCCCCTTCTCGCTAAAAAAAAATCGTTCAACCTGTAATATTATCAGGCTGTTTTATTTGTACTGCATAGCACTAATAAAACAATTTGACGAAAATCAACTTATTTAATTCTTTTATATTTTGAAGTGGCATGATTCATTGTAACTCATCAAGTGATTTCGAAAAATGCCATCAGTCATAAACATAAAAATAAAAATGAATTTCGATTCTTTCAGGTATTCGTCAATTTTTTAGATTTGAAAGATTTCCGGAAAGATGAGGAAAAAACAATTATTACTTGGAGCACAAATTGTCCTTTAATACGTAATGAACAAAAAAATTTGAAGTTTATTTTAATTAATTGTCGCGACAGGTCGTTTTTATGAAATCTTTTCTAAAAAAAGAAGTTTTTAAACATGCTTTTATTTTATTTTATGTGATAATTGTGGCGATAATGCTAGTGATAATGGCAGTGCTATGAACAAAGTTGAACGAATTCATGTGTCTATTATTAATGTTTCATAATTTTTTTATCCAAGAATTGGATTATTTTTGACAATTTATCACTAAATGTTCGAATAATAAACATATCAAAAAGCATTTTAAAAAAACTCGTTTGATGCTATTTTTAATGTCGAAAATCGAGTGTGTTTTCTCATCATTTTATATTATCGAAAGATACGGTACTTGGGATTCAGCTAATCCTAAATCCCATAAAATCATTTCAGCTGACGCTAAATTCTGTGGCTCTGGATGATAAATCGGCTGATAGGCGTAGTGTACTATCGCCGATAACTAAATTATTCAGCGGTAATGATCAATTTTATCATTTATACTGAAATTCAGTATATTCTTTTTTTTCAACTTTTAGCAAAATCAAGATGATTGTTGCTTTTTCACTTTGATTGTATCTATAAAAATTAATTTTATGGAATAAAACTGACAAAAAAAGGGAATCGAGATTACGAAAAAAAGAAGAAAAATGTCATAGACATACGACAAAACCCGTTAGGAATTTTCTTCATTAATTTCATTTTAGTAAATCTCCAGTTTTCATTTCATTTAACGATTTGTCTATCATATTAAAATCTTTTTTTGAATTTTTTTCTTAAAATAAAATGTTTTTATAAATATCATAAAACCTTTTTTTTCAATAGAAAAATTCATTTGTAAATATTTTTTATTTTTATTATATTTATATAAATATTTTAATATATTCTTAGCATTTTTATTAAATTTTATTTGTTTTAATTTAATATTTAATATTGGAAAATTTATTCGAAGTGCTTCGATATAGATTTTAACAATTTAATAAATCTATTTTTCTTAGAATTCTTAACGTAAATTATTATTATCCTTTATAAATAAAAATCGTAACGCAATAAATTTTTCTATTTTATGAAAGAAATGAATAAGTTATTAACTTTTATTAACCATAAATTTTAAATTTTTCGAGTAAACATAGAATCAACTGAACTGGATTGGATATTTGCTACTATTGTATAGCACAAATGTCTCTTTTAAATAGAATTTTTTCTCCTTCAAATGGCAATAATATTTATTTTTTGAGAAAGTAAAAAATTTGGTTTATTTATTTGTACAAAGAAATTTATTCAATAATTTATTATTTTTTTTGCTGCCAGTTTTTTTGGTTGTAATTATTTAATTTATAATTTATAAAAATTTGTTTAATAAATAAATTTTTGCTTATTGATTATGTTTTCAACATTATTTCGGCATTATTTTTATTTAATCAGTTTTAATTTTAAAATTTTAAAAAAGCAAATTTTTATCACTTTTATCAGTGGATGCTTATGAAGATACATATGAGTGCCTTCTTATGGGCTTAATAAAATTTTCGGCAGGACAGAACCCAGCCGAGGTGAAGGTTAACCTCAAAAATAGACAATACAAGTTATAATTCAATTTTCTAAATATATTGTATTGCTAATTTCATATTTTTACTATTGGGGCCATTAAATGGCTATTATTGCTGTTAAATTACAAATGTATAGTGTTAAATTAAGCAGGCTTTCTAAGCAGGCCGAATTAGCCCTACTGATCCATTGCAAAGTGCGATTAAACAGTTATGTACAAGGCAAAAGTTGTAAGAAATCGGACACTTTCTATTTTTCTCAATGTTTTGATCATTCGAGAAATTTTTAATTCGGATCGAATGAGCGAATCCTATCATTTTGCACCATTCAAAAGAATTATCTTACATCGCAATACCACTGGATCAATTGATAATATCATAATTTTAAAAGAAAATTTTTTATCACCATTGAAGGCATTATATCTTATTATTCTTAGCGAGAACTTTTATTATTGTTTTAACAATATCGATTTCAGCGATTTTCGTGCCAATTTTCGTTCCTCCATATCAGCCAGAAATTTCAAAAAAATCTCAATTTTTTCTTTGCAGAGATCCTAGCAAATAGCATCGATTTGGCTGTTCAAATCTATAGACGTATTATTTCTTCCTTCTTGCGTGCTGTTTAGTGGTGTGCCTGTAGCTTTTTTTTTCTTCGGTAAATTTTTCAACTTGTTAATTCATCAAAGATTTTTTTGTGAAACTTATAAAACTTTACGAATTTCTTTCTTTTAAATGTTTTGAGAAAAAAAAAAAATTTGTAAAACAAGCAGTGCAATAAATAAAAAAACTGGAAAAACAAAGAAGAAGTTCTTTTGGTTGTAATTCGTGACGATTTGTTCAAAAAACAAATATACTTTGTCTTTCTTAAAACGCGCTCGTTTAACTAAAAACTGGTTTTTATCACGAAAAAATTTAGTGAATTATATATTCTTCCTTAGGCAATCAGTAATCACGCACATATTACATGAATATTTTTAGAAATGATGATTCGTGGAAAAAAAAGAAAGAATAAAGATGCTTGAATGCTATCTTTGAATAGGAGTAGAACAACTCAGCGGGTTAATGCTCGATGCGGAGTGCCGACGCTGAGGTTCCGCAGGAGTAAACATGTGCAAAAATCCAGGTGATGCTGGTGGCTCTTATCGCCAAGGGACTCCCTGGCATATTTATTTAGTGTGTTCAGCGGAGCGAGTTTAACTCGTAGTGGTGAAGGCTCCTAAAAAGAAATATTGTCTTCAACGGTCGATTTTATTTTTCCAAGCTTAGCGATAATTTTTATTAAAATATTGAAATTTTCAAAAAATTTAAAGACCTAAAATATAAATAAATAACTAATTATTTATTATTATCGTTTATAATAACGAAAAGATGCTTATATATTCATTTATTCTTATTTTTATTCACTTTTTAAGTGATTTTCATTGAATTCTTACAGATTTTTCCTGCTTTTTTCTCAAAAGTAATTACTCAGGCATTTTCAAAAATATTCAAAAGTATGGTTTTAGAATCATTTTTCAAACTCTTATAAATAATGTATTTTAAATTATAAATTATAACTAATACAATTTTTAATAAGTATTTTAATTTTTAATACAATAAGTATAAATAAAATTTTTCCTCATTATAAATTTTATAAATTTTTTTCTTTTTTGTAGTTTCAATAATTATTTAATAATTCATTTTCAGAAATGATTCATTCATTGTATGGTCAATTAGCAAATTCTGGTGGACTATCGGATCCACTGGTGCAAGCTGCAGCTGCAGCACTTGCAGCTCAATCGACAGATCCCTTTCTTACAGGAGGTGGCGAAAGTTACCTCATTTTTTCATCAAAATTCAATGAAAAAGAATGTTAGAAAATTAACGCTAATTAGCGACAATTCTCTAATTCAGAAACTTCTATATGAAAATTGCCTGAAGTGGTTTTTAAGAATAGGAAAATACCTAAAGCATTTTTCTCTTAATGACTTCTTGTACATTCGTTGAAAAAAGTTTGTTTAAGTGGATTGTTAAGTCTGAGTTGTTTGCGTCTAACGGATGAATTTAAATGTTTTAAATTTCATATAATGAAAGTATACAATATATATATATATATAATATTTATTTTACAACCACTCATAGGACTAGATTATCACTAATAAAGTAAGGGAAAATCCAGAAATATGGCGCATAGAAGAGCAAAAGGATTGTATCTTAGAAAATTTAAGTCCAAGTCCAAAGTTACTATTCTTCAAAGTAATAATTAATGTAATCCTATCAGTGCTGAATTCTATAGAATTTAAACTAATACTATTAATTCAAATACTTGAAATAAGGAAATTTATCAAATTATTTAAATTATAGGTGCACGTGATACAACATTTACGAAAATTTTTGTTGGTGGTCTGCCTTATCACACATCGGATAAAACACTTCATGAATATTTTGAGCAATTTGGTGAAATTGAAGAAGCTGTCGTTATAACTGATCGACAAACACAAAAAAGTAGAGGATATGGATTTGTAAGTGTGGAATCGTGTTGTTGTTTTTAAATCATCCTAGAAAATATTACAATCATTTATAATATTTCCCTCATCCCCACTGGAGTGGAATTATTTGGAAAGCACCATAATAATATGTAATATGATAATATATTGATAATATTCGAAGTTATCATTAAATAATAATTTGAATATCTGGTCTGAAAATAATAATTTCCAACTCTTCTAATTCAATGAATATATTTCGAAGGAAGCTTATCAGTGAAGCTTAGGCTTAGGCGAGTCTTTCATTAAAAGTGGAATCGTGTTGTTGTTTCTAAATCATCCTAGAAAATATTACAATCATTTATAATATTTCAAATTTTCCCTCACTCCATCCCCACTGGAGTGGAATTATTTGGAAAGCACCAGAATAAATTTAAATTAACAAAGTAAATAAAGTCTTTAATTGCCAGTAACTACTAATTTTTGTATAATATTTATATAATTTTCTGTATTTTAATTTTATTCATATCTTATTTCTATATTTTCAATTATGACTTTTCATAAGTCTTTCGAATTGTCATTATTCTAATTTCGAAGCACCAATGCTGGGATTCTACTCTCGGCCGAGGCGAAAACTGGGTTAACGCTGGCGATTCACCTTTACTTCCATCACGAAATGGTTCTTTGCCAAAATTTATCTGGTCCCATTAGTTCATTGAACGAGTTTGTTAATTAGTTTGGTTACTAAAATTTTGAATCTATTTTTTACCTGTTCAAACAAATCAATTCCTGCTTATTCATAAGTGCCAAAGTTTCGCTTGATCAAGTTTTTGATTTGCACAAAATAGTTTTTACTTTTTACATTATTATTCTTACATTATTATTTTTTAGTCTAAATATTTAAAAAATGCTCACCGCATGTTGCGTGTTATTCATTTTTCAAAGATGTCACCAGTGGTGCCATAATTATTTTCACTTAATTCTATTATTTTTAGGCTGTTGAAACTGATTAAAATGATTTATTTACTTTTATTATTGTTATTAATGCTATAATTATTGATACATTATAATTATAATTATTATTGTTATTATTATATTATTGCAATTATTATTCGTCCTTCGGCATTTAGCTTGTTGTAATTTTAGAAACCATTTTACATTATTTCAAGGGTTTAATTAAGTTTATAATTAAATTTGAGATTGAGGTTGTAAAAAATTATGTGTTACACTTCACCGCTTTCGTTATTCTAAAAAGCATTCAATATTTTGCAATTCACAATTATCAAACAGGTCTCGCAGAAATAGGAATTTAATGCAGAAAAACTCGAGGGGTACATATCGAGGATGAACCACAATCAACAAGTGCGAATGCAGTGAGTTGTTAATCTGGTGCAGTGGCAAGGAATCGTTGGTGAAAATCAAAATTTTCTGAGGTTTCAATTCAATTCGAAAATAAAGGAAAAAACAGGATTCGAACTTAACAAATTAAAATTCGAATCAACAAGAGATTTCAAACAATAGATCGATAATATCAGTAAGAAACAAGCGACAACTGGAGAAAAGATGCCAAATTACTATTGAAGAAGAAGAAAATGAAGAAAGAGGGATAACGGCTCATAGAATGGAAAAAGATCCACGGGAGAGGATTGACATGCTAAAATCTGTGGATCAAGCTTTAAAATAATTTTTGCGATGGCATTGATAAAATCAGCCAAAAGAGTACCAATCCATATTATTTGGCTAATATTTAATGATTTTTTTTTTATGTTCAAATTAACTGCTATTTAAATTCTTTTTAAAATTTTTAAAAATAGCGGTTCAAAGAATGATTTTTTATTTATTTTGATAGACATCAACTTCTTTGCAAATATATGAATGTCTCAAATTTCAGATTTACTGATTCACCTTTAAAATTCTTTTTTTTCTAGTTTATCTTTGAAAGAAAATAAATTTTTCGTTGTTATTCAACCTCTTATCAGTAACTTTATCAATAAAAAAAGGAAAAAAATTTTTTAAAGGTTACGATGAAAGATAAAGCAGCTGCTGAACGTGCATGCAAAGATCCAAATCCTATAATTGATGGTCGAAAAGCGAACGTTAATTTAGCATATTTGGGGGCGAAACCAAGAGGAAATATTCAATTAGCTGGTACAATTTTTTTCGTTAATTATGCTAATTTATAAAAAGTAATACGAGGTAATGATACGAGGAAAGAAGCTCTATATAATGTAATATTTGAAAGTGTCTTAAATTATTTCACAATTGAAGACAAATGAAAGTCTTACAAGTATGGGCCTTAAAATGACTAAACGCCTGAGGACAAGTGGCGAAACAAGGGCCTTAAATTTGCTTTTAGATTAAATTTCCTCCGAAGCATTAACATTGCTTGTCGTCAATATTTCACTCTGGTTTTCCTGTATTTGAGGCATTGCTCATAATTCTATATAATTTAAATTTTATATCATATAAAGTTTTTTTTATCAAATTCATCACATATCAGCAAGTTTCTTTCGAAATTTTCGAAGTTTTCTAAATTTTTAATCTTCTAAATTTTCAATCGGATGATCCTATTTGATAAATATATCAGTATACATAAATGATAATTTAACAGTGATAAGAGAAGGTCGTAGTTGATTAATAGTATTTTTATCGTCATTAGCCTAGTATTTTTTCCTTATTTCCTCCTCCCATTCATAAATTTATATATAAATATATAAATTTATATGTAAATTTTTTTCCTTACCTTCCCTTTCCTTGTATTAATAAAATATTATAGACTTTTTTCGTGAAAATCAATCTAGGAACCACCAATTAGGAAAAATAAATTCATCATTATGTGATTTTCGAACAAGCTATGCTTATTCTTAGCCCAGTGGGGAAAAACACAGGTTTGTTACTTACCTAAATGATTATTTAGAATAATACGCCAGGCTGGTAGGCTTTCATTCCACCTTATTTTCTTAAGAGTCTGTTTGGTTTCTCAGTTTTAATTTATCTTCCTAATGTAAATTTGATCATTTATTCATTCATTTATTAATTTAAACAATGAATCTAATCATTATGGAAATTTTTTGCAAAAAATTTGGCATAAATTATTTTATAATAAGTCTTTCGAGGGACCATTTCTTTAAAACATGGAGGATATGAATTGATGCAACTGTGTTTGATGTCTTTTAGATCTTATCAGTTATGAATTATCGACAATCAATTATTATTTTCTATTATCAGTTGTTATTAAAATTGTTTATGTCGTAAGTACCAAACAGTATAAGTTCTAGTATTACCGTGAATTTTTAAAGAAATTGCATTTCAAATGATAATAGTGAAATTAGAGATTTTGCTTCAATTTTACACAATTTTACGCGTGTGATTTACGTGATTTACGTGTTGTTGTACTACCTTTTTTCTATAAAATATTAATTGTGTGATAGCAAATTGTGGAAAAAAAATTTTTTCTTTTCATTTTATTGCATGTGGTTTGCTTCTGCGATTTCGCGAGTTTTTTTTTTCAAATTTCAGCGCTTTCTAATGGACTTCAACAAATCCCACTTCAAGCACAACTTCAAACATTGTTTCCCGGTCGACTTACCGGGTAATTCTTTTTTCATTTATTGTTTCCTAACCAAGAATTTATTTATTTTTAGGTGAAAGGATTTTTGTTTCTGAATTTTTATCGATTCACTTTCTCGAAAAATGTAACGTTTTTTACGGTTTTAAAGTTTTAATTTTTCATTTGTCCAAAAAATCGGCATTAGTTTTAAAAAAAAGGAAAAAATTTATTATTTTTAAAAGAAAGAAAGCTTATTAATTACGATTGTTGAAGCGAAGATCAAGTTTATTTATTTTTCGTAGAGAGAAAAGATTTTTCAGATAGGAAATTTCTAAGAAAAATTCAATCCGACATTCGAGATTTAAGCTAAAACTTTCATAGAAATCCTAGAAAAGCCGATATTTTGGTTTAAGATTTTTTAGAAAACAAAAAGTGCGGAAAGAATTGTCAATATTTATAAGAATGAGAGTTATTTGCAGTGATCTTTAAAGCTCACACACTTCTCTTTCATGCTTTCATCTCCAGTGTGATTGCACCGCTAGTATATTTCTTATTTTTTGAAATAGTTCCTTTCCCGGGGATATTCCCATATCCTTTATTTTTTTCTTACTATTTTAAGTTCATTGAACTTATCAGTTCTTATGAAAGAAATTGATAAGATACTTCACAAATAATAGTAATAGAATAGAATTCTTCGTTTTTGAACAACAATCTAAGCAGGTGAAACTTGCTTTTTGTTTTTATGTGATGATTTTCCTAAACGGTTTGGAGGAATTCGAAATAGATGAAGAATGTATTTATTTATTTACTTAATAATTATAAAAAAAATTTTTCTGGTAAAAAAAATTAATTTTCGTTTTTTTTTAAGAATAAAATGAAAAAGAATAACTAAAATTGCGTTTTATTCTAAATTTTTGCTAAAGTATAAAATATAAAGTTTAATTAGAATCGCTGACTTGAAGAGATCACAGCAATAAAAAGATGATCACAGCTGTCATCAAGGCATTGAAAGCGAATTATGCCGCTAAATTCAGTTCTAATTCCAGTGCACTGCTTGGTCTTAGGCATTCGATAAACTAAACAAAGAACATGAAGCCAATAAAGAATAGCATTATTTTCAATTCTTTTTGTGGAATCAATAAAAATTTTGCTGAAAACTTTATGAGAATTTTATTCGTTAGTTCCATAGAATAAGGTAAATCCGGGCGATACTAATGATTCGCCTGTATTTATTTCTATTGCCACGAGACTCTTTGGCATATTTGTTTAGCCCGACAAGCCAGAGGAACGGCCTAAGAAAATAAAGCACATGCAAAATATGGTTGTTGTATTATAAAATCGGTTGTTTTTGGCAAAAAAATTTTTTTAGTGAGAATTATCATAACTAATTTTCAGTTTACCGCAACTGGTTTATCCTACAACAAATCCTTTAATAAATTCGCTAACTGGTCTACAAGCGGCCACTCAAACGAGTATCGCTACTTTACCGCAATTAACATCGTCACAACCTCAACAGCCTTACATAGATTATGCGACTTTGGCTGCTGTAGCTGCTGCCGGTGGACAAAATCCATTCGGAATTCATAATTCGGGTTTATCCTTTAAAACTGCATTTCTATTTTAAAGTGTTAATTTAAATTTTTCCATTCAAACACTTTTATCCGAACTGTTTTCCATTATTTTTTGATTATTTTAACGGTAATTATAATTTGGAATGAATCGCACTGATTGAAGATATACTTTCATCCTTATCACCAAAAATTTATTATCAGATCTAGTTGATGGAAAAAAGGTGATAATAATAATTAATATAAAGGTGATAATAATCATGAATGTAACTCATGATATTTTTATTTTGCTTTATAATCAGGTTCTTCATGACTAATATGAATCCTGTTGTGCCCCTGGTTTTGCTCTATTTTTTAAAAGAAATTAGAATAGTTGAGATAGTTGAGATAGGCGGCTATAAATAAATCAGCCAGATTATCCAATATTTTCCAATTAGACAATTTTGCAAAGCTCCTTATTTTTTACTTTCATTGTTTTATTCTCTCCTAAACAAATATTTTTAAATATTAGATAATTTAAAAGCAAATTTCAGTGGCAACTACTGGAGCTCTTGGACTCGAGCATTTCGCATATACAGCTCCATATGGTGTCGTTCCAAGTACTTATGCTGCTCAGTTGAGTGCTGCACAATCTCAGTTGGCTGCTGTCACACAACAACAGGCTGCACTTGAGCATCAACGAGTATAATACCAGATTTTTGAATGAATTTTAAATTTATATTAATTTTATTTTAATTTTTATTTTAATTTTGATATTTTTTATATTTTTTTTTATTCGGATGATTCTAAGAATTGCACAATATAGTTTCATTCCTAAAGGTTCCATTCCTAATAGGATAGTTGATTGATTTTAAATTAATTCGAACTATTTAAAGATTTCGATTTTGGCACTTAATGGATTTTAAGGTTATCGACGTCGGTCGTTGTGTGCAATTTTTTGATCGTTTTAAAATTTTTTATAGCTGTTTTTTAAAAATATTCAATGAGATTACTTTTTTAGTTTAGAGATTACTTCTTATATTTCGACTAGATTTTTTTTGCGAAATTATTTTATGCTTACTTTAAAATTTTGTATCATTAATCATGTGCCTAATATTCTAAGATAACCAATCTGATCCAGTGTACATCCACTGTATCATTCTTATAGAAATATATGCTGTTAGATACCCTAGGAAGAATCTGAATCCGAATACTGTTCACGCTTTTTGGGCATTGATAATTGTTGGTTTGATTGAGAGGACAAGCAGGTTGGATTCTTTGAAAAGAGAAAAATACTACCACAGAATGAAATTCGAGTGCTTTCCGAATCATTTAAGCCAACCGAGTGCGAATAGGTGTGTTTGGTATTTTCCTGGAAAAAAAAGGTTATTTATAAGACCAGCGCATATGATCCTTTTATCGAATGGTTTTTAGTAAAAAAAGAATATATCTTCAAAAGTCTTAAAAAAACCACACTTGGTAATATATTCTTACGTTACGTGATTTATGTGTTCTTTTTTTTATGTGCCAATTAGATACACGCTTATTATTCTATCGATGAGAGGTGTCGGTCGCTATTCAGTTCAACAAAACATTTTATGTTTATACAATCTTCATTTCGGATAAAATGTGCCATTAAATTATTTATTATTTTTTCATTCATTCATTCATTCATCGATAAATTCTATAAAATTATTGCTTTACATTGTGAAAAAATTTATTTATTGATGAAAAAATAGGACTAATTGGGTAATAAAAAGCCAATTTGTTCGAATTTATTTAAATAATTATTTCTATTTTATAATTTCCTTTTGTTTTTTCTCGCATCAAATTTTTTGTATTTCTCTAAAATAAGTCGGAATTATTGTTCTTTCCAGAAAATTTGTATATTCCTCGCTATTCTAAATTTCATCGTTATTAAGGATAATCTAATTTATAACAGTGAATAGTCATTGCTATTTTCATGTTATTTTTCTTATTAATGTATGTGAATTACGAGGCGAATATGTTGTTTTTTTTTGATATTATCAATATACATAGTTTTTTACAGATAATTTTTATTATTTTGCATCCGTGGAAAATATAAAAATTATGTTCTGTTAAAATTATTTCTAATGTAAAGTGAATTAATCAATTACTAATTATGCTTTAATGCAAACCATACAATACAAAAAAACAACAAAACACTTTATTTATTGTTGAAGAAAATTCTATAAAATTCTATTGAAATAATTAATTTAAATATTAATTAAATAATAAATAATTTAATAATAAATAAATAATAAAATAAAAAAAGAATAATTTAACAAATAAATGATTTTTCCTCGATTTTTTCCCTTTCCATTCATTTTTTACCTCAATTAATGCGATGTGTTTTATTTTAAAATATATTTAAAATATTTAACAAAATATGTCTACTGGAATTTTAATCTGTAATCTGTGAAATTAGCAAATAAATAAATTTGATAAATTTGATTGGGCAAAAAAAAATGAATTTGTTTTATAAATTTCCTATATATAAATTCCCTTATATAATATTTTTATTTTAATGAAAATAATAAAATGGCAAAGCGATGACAATAATTTATCGAAGGTTTCAATGTCAAGAATAAAAAATAAAAAATAAATAAAAAAGAATAAAAAGATAACCCTCAATTGTAACATTTAAACACCTCAAAAGAGCTGCTATCGAGAGATTCGCATAATGAATTTTGATAAGCATCTAATCACACTGATTAATTTCACTGATTACTGATTAATTTCAGTACAGTCGAAAATTTTCTTAAACGAAAATAAGCGAAAGGATAAAGACAAATTAGGTAAAATATTTCATAAAAAATTTGAAATAAGATTTTCTATTATTTGTATAAATGAATTATTAATGTAAAAATAACTTAATATTTGCCAGCAAATCAGAATAATTTTGCATAATTTTTAATTTTTTAATTTTTAAATCAGCCATGTTCAGTGTAAAAAACAAAATGGCTTAGTGAATCGTTGCTCTCATTTTGAAGCGCCTAGATTTCTATGGTGCAGTGTGGAAGATGAAGTGTGGAGACGGGAACAAAAGGAAGTACGTGACCTGTGATGAAATTTATTATCCAGTTCTGCTTCTGACAGCATAATGAAAGAGAATTTGCCGCTGAGGTCTAAGTCCAGGGCTTTTTACTCTATATTGGAGTAAATTTATCTTTCAAAACTCCAGACGGTAGCAACGAACCAATTTTACTCTATCGCCAAGTGAGGCTTCATGTTGCGATTTGTTTGGTCCGACAAGCCAGCCGAATCAAAAATAGTGAACGCACATATGAAAAAAAATGCAGTCTAATCTGAATTCTACAAAAAGTGCTGAATTTTTAGATAAATAATTTTTTAGATGAACGTATATTCTTATTCATTCATTTATTCTTTAGGACAATTTGCTGAAAACTCTACTTGGTCTACTATAGTCTGAAATTTCAGAAATTCACAGATTTTTTCAAATTTATGATTTTTCAATGTTAGAAAAACTGTTTCCGATTTACGGTAAATATCTGCCCAATAGCTTTATTTTTTTTAGTGGAGGAAAATATTTGTCTTCGTTTTCGTAGAAATTTGCTCCCCATAGGTGATTCTCTCCATTTTCATATTTCATAGTCATCCCAGTTGTTTTTTCGGAGCCATTGGTCATTTATTTAATCGCAAGCAATATTATTTAGATTATCGTTTTTCTTTCGTAGGAACCAATAAAAAAAGAAAAAAATAGAGAGAAAATTAAAATATAATCAAATTTTTACCATTTTTGAATTAAATTAGGTAATTAATAAATTAGATTTAACATTTTGAAAGGGTAAAAATTTTAAATACATGAATTTCTTCATATCAAACTTTATCAAATTATGATTGTACGAAATTCAATTCAAATCCCTTCTAGTGTATTTGAAGTATTCGCTGATATAATGAAGAAGAGAACGAAAACTTAAAACTTTATCAGTTATCAGCATCATTCTCTTTATCAGTTAGCCTTACCATTTTTTATTTTATCAATTTTATGCAAAAAATATATTAAATAAAATGGTTGCAATAGATAAAAGGTTTAGGATTTTAAGAAATAAAAATAGAAATAAAAATTATTTCTATGATAAATTACAGTCTGATATGTGAATATTTCAAGAGGTAAATACATTTGAGATAAATAATTTTTTTCAGTGATACGGTCTATTTTCATGACTATTTTCAACTATTATTGTTATCAATGAATTATCACTCAGAACAATCGCAAATTTTGCCGAAAGTTCTTTCACCTTCAAAAATGTTATAATTTCTGATATCTTTTTCTCTTTTTTTTGAATTTTTGAACGAAATACTGTAATAATATTAGAGTCACCAAGAAATATAGGTAAGTTATCGTCACCCAAACCCTTCACTGATAAAATGATAAGTTAAATCTGTAAAGAGATAAGAAACGTACGTTTATTGCTTTTGTTTAATAATAAGTGACTCTATCACCTACGACTTTTTGCTTTGCATATAAATGTAAAACAATAAATATAACAATTTTTTTGCCACACATTACATAAAGTCAGAGAGAACATATAGCATTACAAACCTGGATCCACTGGAGTGGTCATGGTACCCATAATTGAACTATATAATAATTGTTTGAATCCATTGAGCCCAGTAGTATTTTTTTATACATGTAAATTACGGGGGGCCAGACTTTTGTTCAAGATGCCTTGGGCCGTAATTCCTTTTCCACTGCATCTCCAATCCATTAAAAGTCGGCTCCAATCCTCCTCAGCTAGGATGTTTAAATGGTTTTGTTTTTTTTATGGCCATAATTTTTCTCATTTTTTGATAATATATTTAATATTTCTTCATAATTTTTGATAATTATAATAATAATTATAATAATTGTGTTATATTAAATTATAATTTTATAAATAATTTAATATTTAATAATTATATATATTAAACTATTCTTAATTTTAGTTGCTTTTGCTACTGTAATATATAAAAAAATTTATTATTTTTATTACTTTTATTTTATAATTTATTATTTTTGCTTAATTCCATTTCGTGTAGATTTCATTTCTTTTCTTATTTATTAAATTTATTAAAGTTTTTAATTTTTGTATTTATTAAATTCTTAAATTTTTATTAGTAATTTTTATAATTAAAATTTTATTTAATTTTATTGGATTTATTAATTTATCTTTTGTTTTAAGTCATCTTTTTTTGCCATTGTATTTATTTTCATTGATAAAAATGGCTAAAAATATTTTATAGAATTTTTTTTGTGAACCCTTTTTAAACTAATTTGCAATTTTATTATATAATAATAGCTCAATATTATTTATATTATTAGATTTTTTCTTGTTTTTTTTAAGAATTTATCACGAATTTACAAATTTCCACTGTAATACTAGAAGTCTTCGGTTTTTTTTATTATTTATTTGAAAATATTGGTAAAAAAAATGTTTAACGAACAAAGACGAAAATCCGAGTCTATATGGCTGCAATTCGCTCGACCTTGTTATTTGGCCAATGAGAGATTAAAAGTTATTAGCCTTTGACCACTCATATTTTCGATACACTTTACGGGGTCCGTCAAGCTTGCATCCACCCTCACTGAAATACCACTTGCAGTACCGTCACAGAACGTCATTTTCACTGGTTAGAACTGGTTACATTCTTCGTCGTCCACAACAGGAGTTGGCACTTGTTACTTGCTAAACTTTGTGGCAGATGGAAAGCGATGTCCGGTTAAGAGTTGGACTGATACTGTCCGAACGATTTTGAATATATAAGTGGAATAACGATATATGGACTTAAACGATGGAAAAAGGGATGGCTTCTATTACATTAACGATGGCGTCGGACCGAGCAGCTTGGAGATATTTTATCTCCAGCGAAGTTAGCCTAACCAATAATGGTGAAAGCTGTTAGAAGAAAAATTGATAAAAAAGTTTAGCGATCTTATAGATTCTATAATTTTCTTAGTTTTTGCCAGGGATAAATAATAATTTTATATTGTTCTCATATTCAGTTAATATTTTGCTATGAATTGTTGTTTTAAAATATTTCTATGGAATTTCTATGAAATAATTATTTAAAACGCGAAATATTAGCCAACAAAATTCTAAGTGAACGAACATTGACAGCGTAATTATTATAATTTTATTAAGTCAGTTGATTTAGTTTAAACCCTTATTGCTCTTTTATTTATTTATTTGTTTGTAATGGGTCAGCATATCTGTTACAAATGTAATTTTCAGCTATTATTATCAATTCATTTATTAATTCTAAATTATCACTATTATTACATTATTTTACGTTATTTACATTATATAATATTTACATTATTTCCGGTTTTTATTTTCATTGCATAATTTTTTTGCCACATAATTTCTGGCATAAAAAATGCATGGAATTTTTCTTATGCAACAATACAACTTTTTAAAATTCTAATAATATTGGATAAAATTTTTTTAGGCTTTTTTTTAGGTTTTTTTCATCATTTTATATTTTTTTGTTTTATTTAAAGGTTTTTATAAAATTTTATTTAAAGATTTTTAGAGTTTATTATTGGTTTTTATTAATCAGTTTTAGCTAAATTTCAGCATTTCAAGCGCAGATATTTGTTATACTCGAGAAATTCGCACATACGCCGAATTGAAAGTGGTGAAGTCATTTGAACATGATAACGCTTCATTACATATAGCGAATAAGATGGAAGAACCATTTGTAGTAGTTGATGATAACCAAGTTTGATTTCTTTGATTTCCTTGTTAATTATTATATTTGAAATATTTATTTATTTAAAAATATGTTCGAAATTATATTTCCTTGAGAATTTAAAAAATTTTTCCAAAAATTTTTTATGCATAATTTGATTTAATAAATAAATTTTTTTCTATTTTTTGTTAAATGCTAATTCGATTTTAATTGCAAATAATATTTATTTTTACAATTTGGTAAGTAGCATTTTTAATTGATTATTTATATAATTATTCAATTATTTTCTTAGTCTAATAATTTTTCATTTATTATTTGATTTATAATTTCGTAAATATAAAGTCATCAACATTTCATTTAAGAAGACAAGTGACATCTTCAGTTCATTTATTTCTTTTTTATGATTTGTAATTCATGGCAAAGTCATCTGTAAACCTGTAAAGCCATTTTTATAAATTGTTCACGAATTTTATGCATTTTTTTCGAGAATTTGATATTTCTTTGATATTGATATTAGTTGGTTTTTTTAGTTTATTAAAAAAGTCGATTTCCCTTATTTTTCTTCGAAATCCATAATTTTTATTGGTTCCAGGATGAATTGGTTGGCTTGCAAAAAAACAAAACGAATGTGCATGGTGCCTTAAAAAATACTCAGCAGGTGCGATTCGTTATGAATAAAGAGGTATTGGTATTTATTTTTCTATTGTTATTTTTTTATTGTAGATTGAGTAGAGCTGATTTTTTTTTTGAATTATTATTGAAACTAAAATTTAGTTATTTCTTTTAAATGTTGATTTCAAAAACATCTAAAAATTTAATTCAGTTTTCTTTAAATTTCTATTTTTGAATAGTCTTTGAATAAAAACCTGTTAATATTCAGCGCAGTTCATCATCGTCCAGTCCTGTTGATGTTAAATGCGATTCATCTTCGATGAGCGAGAGAAATAAAGAATTTTGCGATCATTCATGGTGTGTGGTTAGTTTTTTAATTATATTTGTTATTTTTTATCTTTTTTTTGTTTTTTTACATTACAATTTACCACAAAGTTTTAGATTTGTGGAGGCATAGCCAATGGGTACCATTTTGGAGCACTATCGTGTGCTGCTTGTAGTGCATTTTTTCGTCGATCTGTGTCAGAATGTCGTAAATACTTTTGTCAAAACGCTGGCAAATGTGTTATCAACCAAAGTTGCTTTATTTCTAATTATATCTTATTATAGTTGCTGGGAATATGCATTAGATTTGTCTAATTTTTTATAATTTAAGGCTCAAATGCTATATTAGGAATGGAAATTTAAAATAACCAGACTAATTTACCATTTACCATATCTTATTTTGCTTTGTGTCTTCAGTTTTTGATTTATTCCAAAACCCATATTCACATAAAGCAGTCAAAAAAAAGCCAATATATCCTAAACTTTACCTGTTTCAATTTTTTAAACAAAATAAATCTATCTTGTTTAAATCTTATGAAAAGTTTGTTTGAAAGAATATTTTAAAGTTTCGCTTATATCTCAGAACTTCATAAGATGAGAATTTATTTATTTTATTATTACTTATTATTTTTATTATTATTATTTATTAATACTATTTATTCAATTTTTGCTGCCATTTTCATTCTTTGTTGTTTAATCATTTATATGAATACATTATAAGTTTAATTTATCTAAAAAGCATGAAATTTGCAGATGCCAGATGTTTTTGTCGTGCATGTCGTTTGAAAAAATGTCTCGAACAGGGAATGGATCCCAATTGTAAATTGAAATTTATTTAAAATATTTATAAATATCTATTTAAAATTTAATAAATATTTTAGAAGATTTCAAAATAATTGATTTTTTCCAGTAAAAAATAAAATATTTTAGCTGTTCAACCACATCGTGATACAATTGGTCGGAAACCTAAGCGAAAATTCAGCGATTATCGAAACGTTTTGTCAGTTTCAGTCGATGCAGAAACTAGCGCATCTGCTTGTAAAAATTCTCCAGATTTTTCAAAATTAAATGTGATGTAAGTGATTTCGAAATGTTCTTGAAAGTATTTTTTTGCTTAAATTTCATTAATTTTTATAAGATTTGTAATTACAAAGCTATGAATTTATAGGGATGATTTTGTAAGCGAAACATCACCGCCATTAATTATTAATGATGGGAATCGCAAAAATTGTGTGATAAACCAAAAGATACCAGATGCCATTAAGAGAAAGGATCATGAATCTGTTCGCTATTTGAGAACAAAGTATTGCTTAAAAAGTTGTTTTATTGCTTGCCAAAGTTATAACTACCTATTTTAACATCAAATTCGGCTTTATTTCTATTTTAATGAATTTCTAATCATTTTTTTAATATGGCTTTGGGTACAGAATTTTTTTGTTTGATAAAATGAGTATATTATTGGTTCTACCTTACGATATTTCTTGTATTTTACCATCATATATTACTCCTTGCCTGTCTACATCGATTGTTAGGAAGAGATTCTCCAAATAGTCTCCTCGATTTCTATTTTAATGAAAAATTTTTGTTAAGGAACGGGAATCAATCGTGCTGATTTTCTTATTGAGAGAGCGTACCACTTAAAAACCTTCAAGATTTGCTTCAAATGCAAATCCAAATTTTTTTTTAATCTATGTGTTTTCTTTTTATTACTTAATTACTTAGTTCTAGCAGCTTCAACGGTCAGCAGATTGATTCCTCGCAAGAAACCAGTGAAACCAATTATGATTCAAAATCATACCAGGTCCACTTTCCATCTTTTTTTATTTTCTATTTTTTCACTTTGAAATACGTCTGTTCATTATGTCCATTATGAAGCCTTTGAATGTAACTGAATTTATAGGGTTTTTGTAGCGAAACCACAAAGGCACCTATTCATCATTCGGTGCAACAGAGACCGAAATCCACACAATTTGCAACTAATTCATTTAATAGTTTCAAAACTGATCAAGCTTTTGTTCAGTATCAATATGAGCTGGAGCATATCGATTTTCCTTACAATATCGCATCGGATGAGATTATTGATAGTAAGTTTACAAATGGTTTATCTGTAGCATTTTGGCGGTTGACTGCAGTCAGTAATAAAAAGAATTTAGATTCCAAAAATTATTTCAAAATTTTCTTTTTTTATTACAGATTCGAGTGGATCAACAAGTTCTGGATTTTGGTCCCAGGAAGGGAATTTACGAGGTTATGGTTGGAGGGATTGTGACGATGTTGTCAAAGATAATCGTACTGCTTTTTATTATTTTTTGCTAGAGACTTTTAAGGATAGAGCGGTAGAGTTCTTTAGCAGCTATGTATTTTTTAAATATTTATAGGATTAGGAATCGAGTCAGTCAGTCCTATTTTTGTCATTTTTTACTATGTTCTTTAATTATTTATTATTTGCATAATTTATAATTTATTTAAATAATTTCTTACTTATATAGTAAATGGAAGGAGTAACAATAAGTCTCGAAAAAATTTCATCTGTTTTCTCTATAAGAATTGTCTAATTATCTCTTTAAATTTACAAATAGGTCGTTCTCAGTCCAAAATTCCATTGTTTAATCCGTCTAACAATCAAATTGAACGATTACTTGAATTGTATGGTATATTACGCGAGCGACGACGTCTTATTTATTGTCCTGGTACAATTAGAGATATTTTATCTCAGAAAGAACCAGTAAGATTTTTTGATCATTGGTTTACCATTTTCGCACAATATTTTATGATACGAATATTTTATGATATTTTATATATTTTATGGTATTTTTATGGTCTTATTCATTTGTACTGATTTTTTATCGTCGTTTGCTTGCTTCTTTCTAATAAACTTAAGCAAATACTAAGTTTACAAATTTCAGTTTTATAGCAGTTATAGTAAAAATAAGAAAATAATCAAAAATAAACTAATAGGATCGGTTCATTGATAGAAATTTTCCAATATTTTATAGCAATTACGTCCTATTAAATTTGGCGAAAACAAATCATTAAGGATCGAAATAGGATTAATCGCAGAATTTCTGAATTATATGCATCCTTTTGCGAAATTACAGCTGGATGATAGGGTAAATAAACAATTTAATTTAATAATAATGAACTAATTTCGAGCTTTTTGAATTTAAATATCGAATTTTAGCTGTTTAATTTTATTTTATTGCTTATAAGAAAATATTTTTTCATAAGAAAATATTTTCGTTATTTAATCGTTTGTTATTAACATTTAAATCGTTATTTAATTTTTTATTTATTTTTATTTTATATTAAACTTAGAAATTAAGTTTGAAATTTTTAAAATTAATTTTTTCTTAATAATTTCTAATTTCTAGATTTTGCTTTTTAAAAATGCCATTTTGCCTTATATGGTGTTGGAAAAATATTACGTAACTGTACGTGCAGGCGGATTTCAAACAAATCGTATTATTAATGTTGATTATTCATTTTATGATATTTCGGGGGATTTTACTTCGTCTAAAAACGGTTCAAATGCGTTTCAAAAATCATCCACGAAGAAATCTATGAATTATGACGATTCCCTAGAATTTGATTCAGAAACTGTTAAAAGGTTATTTATTTCGTTGAATCTATCTCTGTTTAGTAATATTTAGTAATAGTTATAAAAAATTTAGTGGAATTATCAGCATTTATTGAGTTGGAAAAGTTGGCGAATGAGATTCTTACTTTTTAATTAGATTATTTATAAAAATAATAAGATATAATTTTTCGATAGAAAATATTCTTCTAACTCCAAATATCTGTAAATCTAGGATGCATTGCTCTCTTCGTGAATCTATGCACAATATTGCTGGACCAATGTATTATTTTGGAATGACTGACGTCGAATTTATCGCTCTTGTTGCGGTTATTTTATTTGATTATTGTAAGTTTTTTTTTAATAATAATTCTGCAACAACATTCCTTTAATGAGAATAATAGTCATATAAGTAAATTATTAAATTATTTGAATAAAAATTTACCATTGTTGCTTATATTTATATTATTTATATTAATTTATTTATATTTATATTTTGGAGCGTTTTTCTATTATTATTTTTTTAATAGCCGTTCCTGGATTAAGTGATTTGGCTCGTGAACTTGTGAAGGAAGCACGTGATCGATTATATATGGAATGGTTTGCTTACTATAGCATCCATAATATTGATAAGGCCTGTGAAAAAGTAGGCAATACGATGCTATTGCTTCCAGCCATACAGGTATTTCAATTCAAATTTACCGCTCAATATCGCAAATTTTTTTATTAAATATTTAATTAATTTTTTTTGATTTTTTCAGTTTTTGGTGCATTTGCAGGTCGCTTGTGGTAAACGATCGCAAAATCATCATAACTGCTTTTTTAATTTGCTTGAATTCGATAAATTTGTTGAAGAATTAATGCAATAATTAATGGAATATAAATAAAGAAAATTTTAAAGCAAGAAAAGGATTCGTTCATTTATGAGTAATTTTAAATAATTATTAATTTGATAATCATTTATTAGTTTTGTTCTTCTTAAATTTCGATTGATATATTGCCTATGGTTTTTTGCAAAAATCTTTCTTAGTTTTGTTTTCTCGATGATTATTGATTCACTTTAATAATTTTTTTTATGGCTTTCATCCTTTTCTTCGTCTTTATCATAGTTTTTATTACATTTTACATTTTCATGATAATTTTTTTTGGATTTAGCGAATTTTTGCGGTGAATTTCTTATTTAGAATTTCTTCTTATTCTGTTAATTTTCTAAAGTTTCATAGTTGGAAGTTCGAGTTTTTTTTATGTTTCTTTGCTCACTAAATGCTCATTTTTACTAATAATTTTTCTAAATTTGGAATTATATTAACATATAAATCCTTTAAATCTTATAAATCACTTCTCTTCTCTTTGAGTTGACAAAATTTTTTAGAATGCTAATATTTGTCTAATTTGTTTTTGCCATACGAAGCCATATTGGGCCAATATAAAAGCCAATATCATTTGATATCATCAGTTTTTTCTATTCTTAAGAATAAACTGGAAATTTTGCTGGTCTCATTTTTCTAGTTTTTTAGATACGAATGGTATGTATGGTATTGACTTTTATGTTTAGCCATTAGTTATTAACTGTTAATAGTGAAATTCTTGAGTCTTTTTTTTATTACTTAATATCTTTGGAATTATTTCTGGGATTTATTTCGAAATTTTTGGATATTGTTTTTTTCTTGATATTTTTCAATTTTATTAACACTTATAATTTTGCATTATTACTTTCCATTTTTACTTTTTTGCCTACCTCTTTTGAATTGTCATTAGTTTTTTGTTTCTCATTCTATTGTTCGTTTTGTTGTTGTTGGTAATTCTAAGTTAATTAGATTACTATTTTGGATATAATTTTTCTGTTTTTTTCGACTAATAAACTTTTCGTTTTATGATTTTGTATGTGATGACGTGGTTTTCATTATGGGAATGAATGGATAGAATGGGTTTATAGAGGTAGGTTGGTACCTTAATAAAAGGGCTATTATATTGTGCAGGTACAGCGTTAATTGAAGGTTAAAGTAAAGGATAGGAAAGGGGAAAAGAGAAAAAGTGTAAAAGAATATTAAAAAGGAAAAGATGTATAGTGGAAAGGGTTTTTATCGAGCAAAATATTGCACCATTTATATTGTCTTTCGACATAAATTTAGATTTATTTAGAAGATATGTATATTTCTATAGTTTTATAGGGTTTTATTGCTTTAGCCATAGCATATTACCCGCATTTTTATAAAACCCTTTGCATTTTTATAAAATACGCGCAATAAGTCAGTTTTAGTCATT